AATTAGGGTGAACTTTAAAACGATGTCTTTTTATTGTGGGGGGGAGGGGGAAGAAAAAGGGAAAAAGTTTTTTTTATCTTAGCTAAGACATTACTATTGCCTGTTCATGGCTTTTTCTTGTCCCGATTTTAGTTTAAGCAGATTAGACAACTGATTTGTTGTCGTTAGAGAAAAAAGTGAAACAAGCACCAAAAATGCTGTTTTTTTTTTTTAGATAAAATTAATGACTATTTTATGAAACATATAAACAAATAAATTAATAAACATAAATAATAGAAAATAAAAACAGACAATTGATAGGACCTTATTTGTTAGTTCCGATGACTGTTCAGCATCATATCAGTGATCATAAAAATCAACATTTGAAGACTGAAACAATAGAAGAATCGAAAAAAATTTTGCTACTTTGCGATGGTGAATCTGAATTTGAGCTGTACACGTTTGTTGGGTGTTCTGTTCAATCGGTGATAACCTGCTAAAAAGATGTTGTACATTGTTCAAATGCCACATTCAGTGCAGTCTGAAGAGGTCAGGAATCAGAATCAGAAACAGGCTAAAAGTTGTTGCAAAAAAGTGCAGGAAAAAAAAGTAAATTATTCGTAAAATACTCAGCGAAATAAGATTTTTCTTTTTGAATGAAGCAATAATAAGGTGAAGTTTTTTTCTTGTTTTTTTTTTTTCCATTTCTTTTTCTCCATTAATTTTGTCATCGATTGATTGTTTGACCAACAGATAATTATTAGATCGTATTTTAGACAGATTAATTGACTAACCGATTTGCAAAGGTGTTTTTTCGGTTGAGACACAGTGATTGCTGAAATTTATCTTAATTTAGTAAATCTGTGTGCATTTTGTAACTTTTATTCCATTTTTTTTTCTTTCGTCATTTTCATCTTTGCCTTCGTCTTCGTTTTCGCCTTTTTTTCCACTCTTTTTTTTATTTTAGCAAAAAAAAAAAAAGATTCTATTAGAGTTGGATGAAAAACTGGTTTTTTTTTTTCTTGAATGCAATATATTTATATTAGTTGTAAAGTGGTCGCCTAAAAATGAAGACGTAAATTCGGGTTGACTGAAAGGAAAAAAAAAAGTCACAGCATCACAATGCCTATTTTCAGTCAGTATCATTTTTTTTTCTTCAAATCTTCGCTCTTTTATTTTTATTTTATATTTTTTATTTTTATCTTTTTCCTCTACTTGTTTATTTCATGATCTACAAAGACAAAAAAATGTTAACGGTTAGCGATAAACCAGCAAAAAAAACGTCATTTTCATGTTTTTTTAGACGCTTTAAACTTAGTAATTTCTGGTCTACTTAATCCCGTCTTTTCTGCCTTTCTCATTCATGCCTTTCTACAACCTTTCCGTTTTTGTCAGATAAACTAAGATCATCAGTGACTAGTCATTTTTGTTGGTTAAGCATTTAGAAAGAACACTTTTTCTTACTTTATTATCATTGAAAATTGAGCAAAGCAGGAGGTTGGGTAATTTTATTTGGTGCTATAAGCGTACAGACTAAAAATACTTTTGAATTAATTTTAGGCTGCCTTGTAGGATCAGATATCTTTCTACTGATTCCTGGTTGATAATAGTTATAATTTATTATTTTTTGACATTTTTAGCACAGTCCACTCTCACAGTTTAACTGCATCTTTGGCTTTCAAATATCCTTAGCATAGGAGAAAAACCACTGAATGCAAAATTAGATTTTATTGTCGGCTGTAATTGTACTGTTGTCTTATTTGGATTTTCTGTACTCTTTTAGATTGGTTATTAATCAATTTATTATTGAATAAGTCGTTTATTTATTAACCTAATTTTTTTTCCAGTATTTTTTTTTTACGTATTACACGGCGAACGTCACTGATTTTATATGCTATAATTCAACCAAATAAGTTTTAACAGATTCAATATATGAAAAAATTAGCTTTTTTTGTGGTGCTAAGCTTTTCTTGTCAGTGCTGTAGTTGCTAAATGGTAAAGCTTTGTTTTTGGTATTTTTCTTTCTATATTTAAGATCTTTTATTTTTTTTTTCGCTTTTTTGTTTGCCGCTTTCTATAATATAGCTAAAAATCTTGTTATTAACCATTAAATGAAACAAAAATATATTCGAAAAATGTTTATTATTGTTGCTATTGGTTTTGTAGTCGCTGTTATTGCTGCAGAAAACTGGTATGAAAAGATTTTTATGGTCTAGAAAGCAAAAA